TTAATGAATCATTATTCCAGTCATACGTTATTAAGTATAGTATAAACTTACTTAAGCATGCTTCGGCCACAAGTGTCACCGCCAATGCCGGAGGATCACAGTCTGGGTAGAATGGTGCAATAGAATATATTGCAAATGTCTGTGCAATTATAGCAGCGCCTCCGGGTATTAAGATCACAAAATTCACCCACAGCATCAAGAAAGCAGGAAATTTGCCAAAGGCTTCTTTTATATAAGTGTATTCGCCTCCGCCTTTCTTGATAGAAGATCCCAGTTCGGCATAACATATACCACCTAATGTAGCAATGACACCACACAGAATCCACACAATCAATGCATTACCAACAGAACCACTGTACTGCAGAACACCTTTTGGAAAGATAAATATTCCCGATCCAATAATACAGCCTATGATAATAGTTATACTATTAAATAGACTAATTTGCCTTTTCATTGCCACATCATTTCTTGACATATTTGCAGCAGATGACACTGTCGAATCTGATTTGGAACGCTGTCGCACATTGGCGATATCTCCGTGATTCGCCATGCTATCGACTTCCAAAGTGACTGTCTCCGAGTAGTAAACTCATATGCTCGTTTTAGACGCGGGTGAAGTCCACATTCTCTCCACAGCCCTTAGAGAGTAAACACTTTGAAAACACGTTATGGGCATTATAAATAAATCACTATTCAAAAATGAAATATTAATGCCTACTTGAAAATTAAGTGACACAACACTAGTCGCCATCTTTATCGTGGATACACGGGTGTGATTCTTGTTTCATTCATATTTGTTGTTGTTTAATTGTATTTGTTATTTTTCATTCGTAATTAGTTTGTATCGATAGACAATGATTATCTGTATTAGTTCGTTTTCGTGTCATTCGATTCCAAGCATTATTAACTCAGATATATTCGTTAGAACTCGTTTCATGCTTGATTTCACCTCATAATGCATGTATCTCTATTACAAAGAAACACAAATCAGTTTATCTAAGCCATTTACTTAAAGGTCACAAATACGCTCTTATCACAGCGAACGCAAGGAAAGTCGCAACTTTGTAGCGGATTAAGTCGCAATGTATACTTAATAGTGACCTTCTCGCATGGCAAACCAATCACAGTGTTTCCCTACAATTTTAAAATCCAAGGTGTGAATCCAATTAACCCTATATATAGAGTGTTTCAGTGCATGTTTGGGTGGATTGTTCTCATTGTACATTGATGCCAGACTTCTCTACTGAAATAAACGACGTACTAATTTATATACGTATTACAGTTTACCCTAGTCTCTTACTTGTGTTACCATTACACAAACACAGTGCTCGCAGTTTTTGGACCAGATCCAATAACTCAATATAAAATAGTTATATGTCGGGAGATGCTCTCAAATGATATACCTGAAATGTACAATTCTCAAGGTAACATATATTTCACCTACGTAATATTACTAACGAACGAATTATTTTTTTTTTACACTCAGCTATCAATTGATTTCAACTTGAAAGCCTTTGATTAGATAAAATTCAACTCAGTATACTAGAGAATTTTTGACTGACTCTCACATTATTTATTTGTGGTCATTAGTAAAATTGATTACTCACAGAACACAGTAACAACAGAGCTAGGGAAGCAATTCAGTTCAAAAAATTTGGTAATTTATTCAAGTTTTGAACGAAAACTTTATGATATGACTGTATGATAATAAACTCGTGCAATACGTTGAATGGTCGATGGGTATCATCCCG